TCTATTTCTATTTTGTTGGTAGATTTTCTTAATGTGCGGTAAACACAAAAGTAACAGCATGAAGTTGGTCGCTTTAGCGCATCTTAAAATTTCACTCTCATCATTTTTTCATATGCATAAAATACAATAAATATAATATATATCGATGCAAACTATAGGGAAAAATCACGGGGATTTGTAGTGTAAGATTTCTGCACGAGCGAAGATCACGTTGATTGGAAGTGCCCAGAAATTGAAATCTAGATTTCAGGTACTCCGGGGCACATGGATCGTATAAAAGCTTTCATTCGCACCGGTGCCTACCCTGACCCAATCGGTCCCACCCCGTGGAACCCTCAAACCTTACTTACGGACAGACACACAACATCACCAAAGGGTAGTGTTTTTTTACTATGATCTTCTGTCTTCCCCAGACAGGCGCTCTAAATTAAGCCGAAAAACCGCTATTCAATTCACTTCAAATCATTTATTCAGAACTAGGTTCCATAGCGTTAGTAATCTATACTTATAATAAATCTGTAGAGAGGTCAATTCTGTACATGAAATATATTTTCAAAATAACTATCAGGGGGTGATAAGTGATCGATACTGATGCCAAAAATGCAATCAGTAAAATTTTTGTCTGTCTGTCTGTCTGTGTGTATGTTCCTTATAGAAACAAAAACTACTCGACGGATTTTAACGAAACTTGGTACAATTATTCTTCATACTCCTGGGCAGGTTATAGTATACTTTTCATCACGCTACAATCAATAGGAGCAGAGTAGTGAAGGGAAATGTTGGGAAAACGGGAGAAGTTACTCCATTTTTTAAGCTTCCGTCGCGTGTGGAGCCTTAATGGTTAAAGTTTCATAGAAATCATGTATGACGGAAATATTCTACATAAAATTGTCTAAAAAATATCCCGCAACAGCATATGTCCATCTTTTATGGTTGACTCACAATAACACCTATAACTGCTGATAGCTTAGCAGTTCGGAGCATTCTGATTATATTTGTTTACTCTTACGTTTATAATACTCTCACTCATCCCTAATTTAAAAAAGTTAACATTATTACCTATTCAATAAAAAAAGAATCATAGAAATCGGTATAGAAACACCAAACTTATACATGAAATAAGCCATCGCGATGTCGCACGTGAATACTGAATCATGCTTTAAGGATTATTTTTGTGTAACGGCTGCCGCGCTCGACACGGGTCGTGGCGGCGCGGTAGGGTATAAAAAGGCGGGAGGTCCGAAAGCGAGCTTCCCCGCCCCCCCGATCCTGAGAGACCTTCAGTCGCTCAGTCCCAAACCGATACGGATGCACATCAGGGTGCATCCGTCCTCTAAGCGCACTAGCAGTAGTATTTACTAAGGCAGCGCTGCATCATCCCCTTCTCAGGGGTTGATCGCATCAGATGAAGCCTGTAAGGCCCCTAAGGCCATAGGCATCCCCCACGGGTGTGTTTTAGTCAGTAAGAGTCTGACATAACTCTACAGCCGGCTGTAGGGTATCCATGAGGATTTCACACCCGCTCCCCCGCCTGGGAGGAAACAAAAAAAAAAGAAAGCGAGCTTCATTCAATATTTGGCTGTTGATGCGTTCAGAGCGTTCGACCTTATTGACAGACAATAATTGATATTGAGAAACCGTGCTTATCTTAGAATAAAAACCAAACATTTGTAAACAAAATTAGCAAATAAATCATGTAAAACGTGTAGAAAATGAGTACTGGAAAACGGAAATATGAGAATTTTAGTTTGGTTATAAATACAGGTAATAAAAATGACCGTTATTATCTATATCTTTATATATATAATTCTTCTGTGAGTGTGTATGTCACTGAACTTCTCTTAAACGACTGGACCGATTTTGATGAAATTTTTGGTGTGTGTTCAAGGGGATCTGAGAATGGTTTAGATTCACAAAGACGTGTAGACAGGACAACGTCTGTCGGGTCCGCTAGTATTTAATATACTTATAAACTAGCGGCCCGCCCTCGCTTCGCTTCGGTGTAGAGCTGGAGTGTAGACTACAGTTTTTGTTCTCAGGCAATATAAGCCTGACACAACGACATTCATCTATGATTCCTCTTATACCTGCATGCAAAGTCTCAGCCCGATCGGTTTAAAATTGGCAAAGTTTCATACAAACTTCATTCCCTATTTTATCCCCTTGGGGGTAGAATTGATCAAAATCCTTTCATAGCGGATGCCTACGTCATAACATCTACCTGCATGCCAAATTTCAGCCCGATCCGTCCAGTGGTTTGGGCTGTGCGTTGATAGATCACTATGTCAGTCAGTCACCTTTGACTTTTATATACTTACTAGCTGACCCAGCGAACTTCGTACCGCCCTAAAAAAAAAGGGGTTGTCCAGCGGACAAAATTGTGAATCTAAACCATTCTCAGATCCCCTTGAACACACACAAAAAATTTCATCAAAATCGGTCCAGTCGTTTAAGAGAAGTTCAGTGACATACACACTCACAGAAGAATTATATATATAAAGATATAGATAAAAACGGTCATTTTTATCACTTGTATATATAATCAGTCAGTCACCATTGAGTTTTATATATATAGATATGAGTATAATGGAGTCCTATGCCCTACTCCTCTTAAGTATAATAAATTTATGGCAAAGAAAAATTCCCAATGCAAAAGAAAGAGACCATCAGAGGAAGTGGCGAATTCTTCGAATGCCGAAATGCTGAGTAAACAATTTCATGACAGATCTTGCATTGCGATTCCTCTGCGATCCTTGTGATACGCGCTGTTTACGTATTTATCTTAAGCACATCGCTTTAAGCTCCTTAATACGGAGGCTATTAGCGTTGTCTCCGGACCAACTTACCACGTGTCCGGTATTAACCATAGCCGGCAAATATTATTGTCGAAGTTGTGACGACTGTGACCGGTAGCACAGGTGAATTCCTCACTCGCGGAATACAACTCTACAACCACTCGTTATGGTCGATAATACATCGAGTGTATACAAACACCCTCAGAGCCTTAAACGGCATATCTTGTACGAAATAGCAATGATGCTATTCCTTAGACGTGAAATGAAGTAACAGCCCTTTTAACGGGTCCGATTTGAAACTTATCGTTCGATATTTGAAGGTGGTGTTTGGTATGTGAATGGGACAGTTTGGGACACGAGTTGGGGCGAGGGGAGGGGGGGGCAGGCGGTCGAACTGGTTGCCCGAGCGACGACCGGAGGCTGCGCACGGGCCGAGTACAATCTCACGCTTAATATTTTTAATTAAATAACATATGACTGTTTGGAGATTTCTAGAAAGTACATTTTAATCCTTTTGATATGATAAATGCGTAGTTTGTGTGTTCAATTGAAAATTCAATGTCTTTTATTCAGTCTAGGATGTTACAAGCACTTTTTAAATGTCTAAAAGCTATACCATCGGTTCGCAAATCTACAGTGGGAGGGAGACAAATTGAAAAGTGACTTCAATAGGAGATAACTCATAAAGTCACTTTCCATTAGAAATGTAAATGAGATAAAAAATATAAAATCTAAGCATGTATGTTTGTTACTCAATCACGCAAAAACTACTGAACTGATTTGGATGAAATTTGGTAGGCATATAGTTTATGACCTGGGTTAGGACAAATTTTAGGTTCCAGTAGGATTCTCAAAAAGCAGACGAAGTCACCGGTGGCCAATAGTTTAAAGTAAATATTTGAGATTGCTTTGGGAATATAATTCCTTTATGATATATAATTCCATTCTGTTTTGTTTTTATTAGTATCTGATATTAAATTAAAACTATTATAATAAACACTAAAGGGTCTCAATTATCTTGAAGAGATTTTGTTTGTTATTTTGATTTGAGAAAATGGATGGTGTTACCATTTTCTAAGTACGAATTGTAGCAATTTGTTAACTTTTAACTAACAAAAATAAATTATTGTTTATTCCTATTTTTAAAAAAGTTGAAGATTTTTTGATGCTCCCAAAACTTGTTAAGCACTTCATGGTTTTGCATCAATACTTCTACTAATCAAATTGTAATAATATTGGAACCAAAAGTCTTGTAACAACACAAGGAAGTTATACAACCATAGCATTTATTGTACGAATGCGATTACATGGATATTTTTTTGTTTCACTGAAGCAACTAATGCATCTAATTACTGTGGACTATATAAAATCCAACCATACAATTTACTGGAAACAATAAAGAGTGAAACAGCCACTTGCAAATTCGTCAAGCATGTCGACACAATAGTGTCACAACTTAAGCGCGTAAATGTTACATAACTGCCACATCGACCAAAAGTATAAACACATAGCGGCGGCTTTGGATCTGTATCCAATTGCAGAACCAAAATCGACCATAAACACAATATAAATGTACAAAATATATATATTTGCTCCGTAATCAATATACAGAGTACAGTATATATAACAGTTCACATAAAAAAAAATAAACAATCAAAATATTCAATTAAAATCACTATTGAATATAATTTATTAGAACATATGTGATTTGCACTTGTATGAACTCAAACACGTATTCCGAATATACAAACTAGAAACATGTGGATAAATATTATAAATATGAATACCTATAACTGTTACTCAAGAGATGGCGCTGTAGTCTCCTGAATCGCGCTTTGGTTCCGTTGTTCCAGATTAATAAATACTTTTGATAGGCCTTCACAATGCAGTCGTTAGAACCCACTAAATAGAGTTTCTATTTCTATTTTGTTGGTAGATTTTCTTAATGTGCGGTAAACACAAAAGTAACAGCTTTAGCGACCAACTTCATGCTGTTAAAATTTTGTGTTACAGTGATGCGCGCGCATCTTAAAATTTCACTCTCATAACTTTTTCATAACGCGCCTAAAGAAGTATAACTTCAAAAAAAAACTAATGGAGCTTAAAGCTCCACATGGTAAGGGCTTTGCGCCCGACAGTACAGGGCCCGGCTCGGCACGAGTCTTGTAAAGAATTTATAGGAGAGGCGGGCGCGGGCGGCGTCAGTGTTGCGCGCGCATCGGGTGCGCACTGCGCGGTCAGCCGGCACGCCGACGCACGAAGCGCGCGAAAGTAAAAGTGCAGTGCAATTGTGCAGTGATAGTGCGAGACGTGACTGTGGAATGGATGGCGAGGTGGGTCGCTCCCACCGTGGGACACCAATGTATACTTAAATGATAAGGGAAAGTTCCAGCTTCCCGCCATCATTCACTATGTTTTTATTTATGATACAATTGCGCCGCTGACAACCGCATTGTTCTGGTCTGAGAGTTTGATTGTCTCGAGAGCTTTGATGTTCATTAGTTCGCGGGCGTATCGCAAGTTATTACAATGCAGTCATAATTACATTTCATAGTAGCTAAATCGTAATAATCATTGTAGGTACTGTAATTTGATGATCGAATGGCAGAGAACGCTCAGACCAATTCTGCTATTTTTTTATGTTTTCGGGTCAATTTAGAATATTTGATCACCAAATTTTCTGATCAGGGTGGATTGCTAATGCAAATTTTGATTTGATTACAAACAGTGAAGCAACCAAAACATTCAATTATGACTTCAAACCACATTTAAGCAAGAACTTATATCAGAAATGTTCACAGAAAATGTTATCGTCAAAAATGTCTTAACACGGTTTTACCTTTGACTATAAGTGTAAGAAATTTATATAAGTATATATTATTTTTATGCTTAATATTTTCTAGGCAACAGTCCAGTTTTAATGGAATGTCCAAATATTAAAATCGTTCTCGTAACAAAGTCATATATCGAGTGAAGACAACACTGACAAACGGGTTCCAGTCATTTGATGAAATTACTGTTCCGAGGGCTCGCCGTCTCATTATCCACGCCGTATTATAAGCAGCTACCAGTTGCCCCTTATTATTTACTATAGAAGAAACAAAAAAAAAATTGTTTGAAATATATAAAATTGGTCAGTGCATTCGCCCGGATTGCGAAGGGTTCGAGTCCCGTCTGCTGCCTGGTCCGCGTGGAATTTTTTTCTAGTTATATGAATGAATGAATGAATATTCTTTATTGCACTATTTAACAAAATATATACAACATAAAACTCAAGGAACACAAACACAAAAGGCGGCCTTATTGCTAAGGTAGCAATCTCTACCAGGCAACTATATTTTCTTTAGATTTGAACATCAAGCAGTTACATGCTTAAAAATAAATATAATATCTAAAATAATTAGAGATGGGCCGACTAGTCGACTAGTCGGGAAAGACGACTATTCGCATCGTTTATAGTCGGCGATTATTCGGTAAAACATGCCGATTATAATCGGCACATAACCAATGAAATAAAAATCAAAACTTATGCTTGTTTTGAATATTTAAACAGTACCTAGAGTATGTATTTAAAGTTACATACAGTCTTAAAATATTAAAAGAATTATAAACTTAAGAATCTGTCAGTAATTCAAATAACTTAACACGATGAATATCGCACATAACAAAATAACAGTGGGAAGTACGTACGTATTATTGAGTGAAATCTTAAGTGCTAGCGAGTCTTATAGAAGTCCATAGGTAAATTTTGTTTTCCTTAGAGGCAAATTGTGATTTTGGAACATGAATATTTCGGCTCGTTTTGGGAGACTCGTCATTTTTTCTTGTTAAAAATTGTGTTGTGGCGGATGTTAGTGTCTAATAATGGTGGATTATTAATCACTAAGTGTTCGGGAACATGCACAAGTGTTGGCAAGTGAAACGAAATAGCGGAAAGTGTCTTTCGACGTTCCCTCAAGAAGTCCACGGGGAGGTTCCAGTAAATCCCCACACATTTACTGAAACATAGGGAAAGGGGGATTGACTTGACTGCCACTTACTTTGACTTGATATATTACTTTGACCACGAGTGCTATAGAATTTTTAAACATTTTTAACACTTGATATTGGCTAAATGCACAAGCCGTGCGAAGCCATTTATAATAAAAAAAACTTTGTGTGTGTCAGCTCCGACGCACGATTGGAGTTTACTCCTTAAGTTCGATAGTCTAACCAGACGCAAAAAGAGTTTATTTAACTTAAAAAAGATTGATACTGTATGAAAGGGTAAATTAACAAATTAATGAAAATAATATACATGTATAAATATATATTAATTCATTTCATATACATTTATTATAACTAATTGACGAAATATTTTACATTAAACTTTTTACAATAGTCAATTTCAGATGTGCATAAATATATCATTAGGAATGTTGATAAATTATGTAATTATTATTATCAGACTATTATCATTTTTTTAAATATTAATTAAATCAACATTGTCTGCATTATTAATTACAGTGACAAGTGATTTATGGTAACTAAAATAAGACACATGGACGTTCGTAGATACGTGGTTCACGAATCTTGAAAATACCGCATCAATGGTCGTACCATACCTCGTTGTCCCCATTGCTCTATCAGAAACAATATCTAAATTCCGTTCAGATTTTAAAAATCTTATTAATGTCAATCCGTCATCTTTGCGCGACATAGGATGCGCACCAAAAACGTAACGAGGTCATTCATCGATAGATTTTACTCCTCACATTTTTCTCATACCGGGCCCCTTATACATGCAAATCGATTCTTAAGGAGTAAACTCCAAAAAACCTTCAATATTGCTGTAAACCTTTTCTGTTTAGGCTATTACAAGCAGGTCTAAAATTTTAGCATGTACCATCAATCGGTAGGTACGCAATGCTACGGTAGAAGACCTTGTACAGAGAAGAACCAGTAAGAAACTCAAAAAGAGCTGTTCTTATGTCCATATTTTCCTTCCTTCAATTGACGACACTGTATGAAACAAAACAGGGAGAAAAAAATAGCCCTTGCTGAGTTTCTTGCCGGTTCTTCTCAGTACGAGGTCTCCCGCCGTAGATTTACGAACCGATGGCGTAGCGTTTGACTTTCACAAGAGCTTTTAACAGCCTAGACTGAATAAATGAGTTTGAATTTTGAATTTATGTGATAAGAGGTTGTCAGATTGGAAAAAAGAGAGAAGAAAGAATATCATGAAGTCACTTCTCAGTTCTCAGAAGTATGACGAACGAAGACTCCTCCGCTTTATTTGGTCCCTCAATTCTGAGCTGAAGATTGTGACTCCTTTCATATCGTCTTGATCCGAGCAATGGAGCGCATAGAATACAAAAACTACTTTCTGTGTTCTGTGGTGGATGGCCAACTTTTTTTTTAACACACCAATTAGCCTAGCCCCAAAGTAAGCACTATAAGGCTTGTGTTATGGGATACTAGGGTAACGGATACAATACATATACTTTACATATTTAAGTATCTAATATATAAAATTCTCGTGTCGCGGTGTTTGTGGTTAAACTCCTCCGAAACGGCTTTCCCGATTCTCATGAAATTTTGTGTGCATATTGGGTAGGTCTGAGAATCGGACAACATCTATTTTTCACCCCCCTAAATGTTAAGGGTAATCCACCCCTAATTTTTTTTTTAATTTTAGATATTTTTATTTTAATTTTTTATGATACATCATACAAAAATACATACAACCCTAAATTTTCACCTTTGTACCACCAACCCCTAATTTTTTATGGCGGTACGAAGTTCGCTGGGTCAGCTAGTATTAATATAGAATTACATATTAAACATCCATGACTGGAGTACAAATGCTCGTATTCATCACACAAACATCTGCCCCCACCGGGATTCGAACCCGGGACCTCTCGAGTCGGCGACACCATGAAACCCGGCGTACAAACCACTCGGCCACGGAGGTCGTCTTTAGCACTGAGTATAAATACACAAACTTTCATCACTCAACCACCTACTGCAGTGTTTTCCTACCACAATCTCCTAACTTAGATATGATATTAAATCAGGTTTTAATTTTTACTAAATATGAACGATTCAAATATGAGGAGCACAATGGCGCAAGTGGTTAGCGCGTTCGGCTGCGATCGTTGAAGTAAAGCAACTTTCGCAGTGGTCGGTCATTGGATGGGTGTCCAAAAATTTACTATCTCGAGCTACTCCGTGCTTCGGAAGGCACGTTAAGTCGTTGGTCCCGGCTGCATCTGCAGTCGTTAGCACCCACCAATCTGCACTGGGCCCGCGTGGTGGGTCATGGCCCAATCTCCCTATTCCATCCATAGGGAAGGCCTGTGCCCCAGCAGTGGGGACATTAATAGGCTGATGATGATGATGATGATGAACGATTCAAAAGAGTTGTATTATGCGTCTTAATACTCAATACTCAACGTTTTATTGCTTTCCATAACTTATACAAGATGTTACAAAATAATATGCACAATCCTGGACCCCGTCGGTCACAACAATCAATTAATTACAGAGGGAGTCTTATTATTTAAATAAGAGGTCTTATTTCAATAGAGACAATTTGAATTAAATTGAATTTATCATTAAACGTACTATCAGTTTTTTGTGTACCACTACAAGAAAGACCTCAAAATTCTATGCAAGTTTGAGGTCTTTCTTGGAGTGGTACACAGATAAAACGAATTTGGAATCACTGCACCAATGCAATAGAACCTGGGTTCCGAACCTGGGGGTAATTACCCCTCCGGGGGTAAATCACCCATTCTTCGGGGGTAACAAAGAACCTAATTAATTGGTCAAATCTAAATAATAAGAAAATACTATCTCTTATCTAATAGACAAGTCCGTCCGTCCGTGGTGCTGTTTCAGCGGCCAAACCGTAAGAGATAGATAAAGAGAATGTTTAAGTTGTAAGTTAAGAATAGTCTGATAAGACTACAAACCGGATTTGAGTAACGTAGCACTTCCGGTTTTCGAGAAATCACGTGATTTCTATTTCAAACGAAACCACACAAAATCTCCGAAGTTCTCAATTAATTAAATACATTTTATTTTTAGTACCTATATAATAATACTACTAAATAGAGCATGCGTTCCTTCTTGCTAGCGAGCCCGCGGGATGCTGAGTGTGGGAAGCGGGGCGAGATCTTTTCCTGATGATGACATTATTGGAGACGAAGATGTAGCAGCCAAATTGGAATTTCTTGGACTGATGATAAAACTTCAAAGTCGGGGTAAAATCTGTTTTCCTAATAGGTTACAGAGGTAGCAGTATTGGAAAGGTTAGGAAACACTGCAATAGAAGGTCGTGTAGGATGGG